TACTGCTGCTGCTGCTGCTGCTGCTGCTACAGCTACAGCTACAGCTACAGCTACAGCTACAGCTGCTACAGCTACAGCTACAGCTACAGCTACAGCTACAGCTACAGCTACAGCTACAGCTACAGCTACAGCTGCTGCTGCTGCTGCTGCTGCTGCTGCTACTGCTACTCCTACTCCTACTCCTACTACTACTACTACTACTGCTGTACATACCGTGCACCCTTGTGTCGAGTGAGCCTATCACCCTCTACAGCGCCGGGGCACACACTCCCTCTACAGCCCCCACCCCCTAGTGTCCGCGGGAGCACGTTGTTCAGACCGAAGGAAATGGTTGCGGGGGTGGGGTCCCCCCCACAAGAGAGATATTCTCAAAAGAAAGGCCGAAGTCTGCATTTGCCTCACTTTTGCGTGGCTTCGTGCTCCTGAAGGACATGCGTGGTGGCTTTGTCGTCGTTGTGGCCCCACGAAGGCCGCAGCTGGTCCAGAGCCCGGTCCGGTTGAGTCCGGGGCAAGTGTCGGCCCAGCAGCTCCTTTGCTTAGGCAGCTGTGGCGCGCGCTGCCGAGGAGGTGCCACAAGCCGCTGTGAGAGATTCACGGCGTTGCAAGCACAGAGAGCGTTTCGAAGGCATGCTAGCGCCGGGCGACACGGAAGAATGCACGCCCTCAGCGAGTCGAATCCACCGGGGAGCTCGAGTATCGAATCATCCAAATCACGGTCCAGCTACTGTTTGCGATTCTCCCACGCTACAAAAGTGCAAGTTATTGGAAATTCTGTCTCGGTGCAAGTCTTCAAGTTGACGACATTCGACGATGGAAGACCCTAATGCTTGCATTGCCATGGCAACTTCCACAAGCGATTCATCAAGTCCGAAACGCAATGAAGATCCCGCACGCTGTTGTAGGATCCTGACTAGGAAGACCCTACGACATGAAAGGTCCCCCAACTCGGTGGAAACCCCCGATATGAAGCCATAGGGTTCCGGCACACTTGTTCCCCACAATTACTGTCGATGCCATCATCATCCAACACCAAACAGTTAGGCAGGGTCTCAAGGGAGTGGGCATACCCTTTGTGGAACTGTGTTCAATCCGTCGGCTTTGCTTACTCAGTTTGCTGGACTCGCGATCTCTCCTGCTGTTTCGACTCTTACTAACGTAGCCGAAACAGCATGGGGGACCATGACTCCGGCAAATGCAGACATACAACTCAACGCACGTGCTCGAATGCTGTGACATGTCATGAAAAGTTGGCACTCGGCACTTGCATTCAATCGTACTACTACACAGTGCTCGCTTTAAGTCCAATGTTGACACCACATGTTCACTGAGTGCTGTCGTCTCATGACTGGATGTCCTCCGGCTAAGCCTTCCTGTCGCATGGCTGATGCGCTGGCCTCCTGTTGACTCCTTTGGCCTTCTTTAGACATGTCCTGCCGGGAGGTTGACAGCAAGATGGGCTTCATTCTTCTCAATGCTCGCCTTCGCGGAGTTCGGAAAGATCCGTTGCGCCAGGAAAGCAGCTTCTAACCGCAATGAGGTCCTTGCTTGGCCACACTGCCAAACTGTGTACAACTTTCCCAAGCTGACTCACATGAACAGGAGGTTTCCGACGGTTTCAACGCAGCCTTTCACGTTCGCCTCTGTGGAAGAGAGGGAGAAGGCTTAGTGTACAGAGCCCTGCAGGCAGGACCAAAACCGCCAGCTGCCGCAAGCCACGAGTCCTCCGTCTTTCTGGCAGGATGGCAGCTCACCTTGGATTCTTGTCGTGGGCTTACCGGATGCGTACCGATTAACTTGGTTGCTGCAACCCACCTTTGACATTCTTTCGCGGGCTCATTGCCGATCTCTGCATAGTTGTGATCGAGGGCTTCCTGCAACATCCTTCGGCTAAGTTCCCGTCGAGTGCATGCAAACACTCTAGGTACAGGACGACCATGACCGTGCTCACAGAAGATCACATCAGTGCTATCATCGTCATTATCATCGTTTTGATGGCCATGCATACGATCCTGCCCTGTCCGATCCCGAACCCGTATACACCTGCATTCAGCGGCACAAAGGAGTTCGCGCCCAAAAACAAGTCTGACAGCCGCCAGCTGCTGAGGCACGCCGGAAACTCCCAAGCACGATCGCAATGGAGGCCTTCATGTCGGGATCCGAAGGGCGCAAACTCTACACGTTGACATTGCCTTTAAGTTCAACTTCGTGCTTCTGCCGCGGCCAGGTTGGACGAAGCTTCGACGAGCCTTCCGACGCGCGGATCAATGAGTTGTTCCCAAGCCGAGCGTGAACTCGTTCGTGGATTCGTTGACCAAACAGCTTCTGCGACCGTGGGGTCAAGCAGGAGAAGCGGGAGAGGGCACATACTGCGCAACCCAGTGCCTCGAGCCAGCGCCAAGTCGGAGTGCTCCGACGTTCTGCGGTGTCCGGAAGCAGTGGAGCTGGTAGTAGCTGGTGAAGAAAGTGCGTGCACAGTCTGCACATCCCAGAGTTGTTGCAGCGATGCAGCTGGCCGTGTTGGGGTGCAGAGGCCCTGTAGTGGCCAGACTTGCAACTGCCAGGATGGCAAAGGTCTCGCAACTCTCATTGCAGAGGTCGGGATGCCAGCTGAGCCACTGCTGAGCCACTTGCAGTAGTTTCACCTGCAGCAAATTTTCTCGGAGGAGTCAGAAGACCTTTGGCATCTTTTCAACCTGAGCATGCCTGCTTCCTAGCAGAGAAGCATCTCGGCTCTCGTTGCCCAAGCCTCTTGTTTCGAATTGCTAAGGAAGGGTGACACCATTAAGGCCATGACATACCGCAAGGCTCACAGAGAGAGAGAGAGAGAGAGAGAGAGAGAGAGAGAGAGAGCGAGAGAGAGAGAGAGGCCTCCCTATGCTCGGGAGAGAGAGAGAGA